CTTCAAGTTGCCAAGGTTGAGAAACATTGGTCTAATATCTTCTTAATTGTCTCTTCATCTTGAAGGTGTTTCTTCATCTTTCCAATATAATCCTCGCTGATGTTAAAACATGTAATGCTAAATACATAGTGCTCTTATAAAAAATTTCTGAGATCATCCCCAATAAGAACAGCTCAGGTTTAAAATCTATATGTGTCCCTATTATCTTTTCTAGCCATCTCTGTATTTTTGCTCCCCACCCCCCATTTTTTTTTTAGTACAAAGGATAAAAATGTCTTGTGATTAAATAGGCGCAAAGTTAACTAGACAGAATAATGATTAAAAAGAAAAGAAAAACATTTGTTTTGCAAGGAATTCATTTTGTCCGGGATGGAAAGGGTGTCTGTTGCCAAGCAACCGCATCATCACAACTGGTCGATCGATGCGCTCGGAGCTCTCGCTCCCTCCCTTTCCGGCTGAATCCGTTTTTCGGCCTGCGATTAAACTTCCCTTTTTCTCTCTCAAAGCCGGCATCGGCGCCTGGCGAGGCGAGGCGAGTCCCCATCTGGCAATGGGTTCTTTTGACTGCTAAGCCGCGCTCTAAGCTAGACGGACTTTCCGCGTTTCCACCTCACCTTTTCTGTCCCTCTCGGGCCCCCGTAGCGGAGCCACACAGAAGCCATAGAGAAGAAACAAACAAGGGGGGGAGGGGGGGACGCGGAAAGTGGGCCAGTTGGGTGGAGCTTTGCGCGTGACGTCACTGGGCGGCGCAGCCAACACCGATGGAATCGGATTCGAACGCTGGCGGGAAGATAAAGCGGCGTTTGGCGTAGCCGGCGAAGTTGCGTTCCCGCGCTTTTTTGTCCTTCCTGCGCTACCGTTTTTTTTTTTTTCCTGAGCGGCTGTGTAAGAGAGAGAGCTCCGTTTGTTTACCGGCGGGCTGCTTCCATGGCAACTCCACCCAAGCGGAGCCGCAGCGGCGTGAAGAAGATCGCCATCGAGGGCAATATAGGTAAGCCCTGAAGCGGGGGAAGCAGCTAAGTAGATAGAGCAGAGGTCATCAAACTTGGCCATCTTAAGACTTGTGGACTTCAACTCCCAGAATCCTCCAGCCAGCATAGTCTGAAATCCACAAGCATAGCTGGCTGGAGGATTCTGGGAGTTGAAGTCCACAAGTTTTCAAAGTTGCCAAGTTAGAAGACCTCTGAGATAGAGGAACGCTTGGAAACGTAATATATCTTGATTTCAGTCAGTTCTGGGCCCTTGTTCAGCCTGACCTTTGCTATTGGAGGGGCTGCTCCCCCCAACAACTATAAATTAATGTGTTTGGTTTTTTTTACGAACTTGGGGTGGTGAAATGTATTATTTACTCTTATTTATTAAACAAGCTTATATAGATGCCCGCCTCATATAGGTGACTCTGGGTCACTTATAGCATTATATTTTATACACACACACACATGTACATACATACGTAAACACACACATACACACATGTGTGTATGTATGTGTTTGTGTATAGATATGTGTGGTGTGTGTGTGTGTGTATACACATGCATGCAGACGTGTGTTCTGACCCCCCCCCCTTCTCCCGTCCAGGAACGAAAGCCACAAGCAAACATAAATAATGCTCTACATGGGGCAGCCCTTGAAGAGCATTTGGAGACTTCAACTCGTCCAGAATGCAGCCGTGCGAGCGATTGTGGGTGTACCTCGGTTCACCCACGTAACACCTATCCTCCGCGAGCTGCACTGGCTTCCAATCGGTCTCCGGATACGCTTCAAGGTGCTAGTTATTACTTATAA